ATGGTTCATGGGGTCACGAAGAGTCGGACACGACTTAACGACTAAACAACAACAACTCATACTCCTCAGGAAAAAAAATAATTCCTGTAATATCTTGATCATTAATTGTTCTTTAACTTCTACGATATAATTTAAAGATGTGATGGATAGGGATATACTCCACTTCACGGCATCATAAGTTTGTATAAAGGCAATAGGAAAAAAAATGGCATTTTCAGTGACTAGTATGGAAATAAGATGTGATACCAAGAAACATAATGTGAGTTACAATCAGTATGAGATTTAAATAGTGCAAGTCATTGAGGAATTCATAGAAAGGCCAAGCTAACTCATTACCTCAAGACATATTATCAGAAAAATCAAAAAAGGTCATTTGATCACAACAGTTATAATGTGTTTCATCTTTTTCATTTTTACATTATGCTTATATGTTCATAAATATTCTGAAAAACTTCTGCTCTAGGGAAAAAAATTAAAACTTCAAACATAGACATTAATTTAGTCATTATGATTATATTCCTTAAATATTCAATGAAATGTCTCCTTGTGTCAACTATATTCCAACTAAATACATACATACATACATACATACATACATGCATACATACTATACATACATTCATATAATCTGAATGATTTACCTTCAGTACTGGAAAGATTAAACACGGTTTTATTATTTGGGGAAGAAGAATGCAGTACTCCTGCTGCTGCTGAATTCAACATACAACGAATGTCAGTACTAAAAAAGAAACAATTGTTGAAATTAAGATACAGAATAAGAACACATGGGTCAGATCTTAATTTACTTACAGTAGTTACCAGGTATCTTGTATTGAAGAAATCCAATAATAATTCTACCTGAGTAACAGAAATTATGAAATTATTCTAAGAGCATTAGGTAAGTACTATGTCAGGATTGGCTATAAGGGAATTTCACAACTAGGTATTCCTGGAACCCTTTAAATTTTTCAACCAATAAACAACCATGAAAAAAAGCTGGAAAATAATAAATGGTTAGGGTTATAATTAAAGTATAGGTAAAACTGAAGCGACAATTTTCAAGTGAGAATTATATCTGAATTCAGTGAACATTCCTTCTGCCTTCATTAAGAACAACAAAGCAATTGAGACTGTTCACAAAAATATCTATATTAGAGAGCCCGTAATCCAACCATCTTCAAGACATTCTCCAAATGGGTGGGTGGGGACTGCAACTTCTAATATTTCCAGCCAATATCACACCACGTATGCTGGGCATCAAGTCACACTAGTAACTTAGTAATAGAATATTTTACCTGCCAACTTCAGTGTTTATGCAAGAAGTGGGAACCTCACTATTCAAAGCTACATTTTAATATTACATTTGTCATGGATTGTCAGTCAGAATGATACATTTTCCCTTTTTCTTTTGCAAAATGTCTGTTACATTGTTTTCTGAGCATGCATGTGTGTGTGTGTGTGTGTGTCATACACACACGCAAATATAAGAAACTAAAAATGTCTGTGAAATAATTAGAGGCATCAATATATTTCAACTACTCACTTCTCTGAGAAAGCCAAGCAATTCTGAATGTGAAGATTTCCTTTAATGTGCTGATCCCAGTCCTCAATTAAAAGAACAAGAAAGATGGTGAGAAATACCAGAAAAGATGTAAGAAAATACAGTAGGAATATGCATTTGCAATGGGTGCAAAACTTTCACAGTACTTTTCATTTATTTTTATGAAAAATTCTGTAACATTCATCAAATTGCAATAAAAGATTTTGTATTTTGAAACATTATGCAGCCAAAATGAATACTCTAAATCATCCATTCACCTAAGTAGGTCCAGAACCATTCAATCACATTGCTCTGTAGAATTGGGTGATGCTGCTATGGATAAGGAAAAGTTTCAATTTATGCTAATCCCATCCAGAGAAATGTCACTGGACACATGTGAACCAAAACTGCACATTTTCGAGATCCCTTTATGGAACAGGATTTGTGGTTTTTTGGGAGGACCATAAGTTTGAGTGTCTGCACAATGTTATGAACATAACAAATGTGAGGTCGTCAGATCCTTATCATTTGCAATGTCCCGGAATATTGATGCTATGTCTTAATGATGTAGATCATATTTTATCTTTGTAATTTCAAGTATGGGAAACTAATATAATGGGATGTTTCCAATCCGCAGTATTTTTGTTTTGTTTTCTTTTAAATCAAGCTTTAAGAACCTTCTGTTAACTTATTGAATGCAAGTCTGACAGTTCTAAAATGATGAACATACATTGACTATCATGAGTGTCCACAGCTTTACTAAGTTACCAATTTTTCCTAGAACGACTGAAAAAACTGGAAAAAATACCTCAGCCCGTTGCATTAGGGCTTTCTCATTATATCACAGTATATTTCACACCAAGGAGGGGGGAGGATGGTGGAGGTGGTGGTTATTTTGCCCAAATCAAAATTATCTGGGCAATTCTAATGATTTTTCATCTTCTCATTTACAAATCTTAATGAGACATCAAATGCATATGCATATAGAATGGTATCAGAAGCTAATAGCTACAATAGTAATTACAATAGTAACCTGGCAAGATAAGAAGCTACAAAACGTGGATAGAAATTTATTTTATCTTTACTGAAGTTAAAGACACAAACATCCTGTCAGAAAAAGTATGCAGTAATTTTATTGATAAAGCAACCCAGGTATGGTAGTCCTTCTTCACAATTTCTATCAGGGAAAGAAGCAATTTACTGTGCAGGATCAGATTTAAAGCAAACTTACCTTAAGGTCAAATACCTTCTTATTGCATAAGATACAGATGTGGGGGAAGCAAAGAGGTGCAATACCATGAAAGTCATTTAACTCATGAGACTGAAGAGGCCTCATTGGCAATCCAGAAGTAATGGGTTCCTGCTTCTGTCTTGTTCGTGAGTTACTGTAATTTTGTTTACCATTTTTAGTTCTGCTGAAAAGATGTGGAGTACCAGTGCTAAATTTTGTGTCTGGTGTTGGTTCTTCAGGGTTATAGAGATCACTTCTTACTTCATATGAGACATTTGCTGATGGCCACATGTTGGCATTGGGCATAATGTCAGTTTTATTTTGGCTAGAGAAAGCAGAAGGATTTTCCCATTGATTGTTTGTTTCTCTTTCATGTACTATAGAATCCATCTTTCCCTTTTGATTTATAATTTGATGAGAATTGTGTGAGTCAGCAGTAAAGGTCAAAGACTGTACACAAGCTGTATGCTGGCCTTTAGGCACAGTTCCATAAAACTCTTTCTGAAATCCTGGCTGACCTTCAGATGTTGCATTTCCAGATGACACTGGGACTGAATGAGAACCACTGGTTACAAAGCTCGGTTGACAGCATTGACCAGCATCAGAGGGGAATATCTGTTTATTGTAATCATAAAATCCACCTGTAGTAGAGGAGGCAACAGTTTTATTTAGGCCCATAGCTACAGTCTGTTGTCCAGCTGTTTGAGAAATGACACCCCCAAAAGGGTTTATGACTACACTGCTGGCATTTTGATTTGGAAGATTATTTACTGGCCCTATGGTTCCACCTGGTGCTGCCAAAGCGGGGTTCTGTGCTGGAAAATGTATTCCACCAGGTGGAAATCTAGTACTGGTGACCCCCGGACCTCCAGCATGGCCCGGAAGGGTATTAAACATGGAAGGGTGTCTTAACTGGTTGAAAAGTGGCTGAGACATGGCCACTTTAGAAAGAACTTGATTCAGGACAGTTGCAGCTGTTGTGTTGTTGGTGACTGCTGTCTGAGCCAATTTTAGCCTGTGCAGGGTAAGCTGGGCTTGCAGCTGAGCCAACTGAAGACTTGCAGAAGAAGGAAGCAGTGGATTTGTGGTGCTGACAGTAAATATATTCTTGTCCAGAAGCTTGGCAGCGCTGTAAAATAAAGGCAATAGTTTTAATTAGGTTTGATTAATATCAACAGTAGAACTTTTTCACCAAATTATGACTAAGAGGTAAGATACTATTCCTGATATCCTTATTAAATCCTTGGAAGCACAGAAAGTAATTTATGACATATAATTATCATCCTCTAGTGTACTTGGAACCATAGTCATTTGAGTTATGAAGATTAATGGCAGATCAAAAGGAGGTTTCTGTTCCTATGGTCCAAGCCAAAATACTATGCCAGGTGTAGTTAAAGAATAATACATCTGCTAGATTTTACTCAAAATATTCTACAGTACTAAACATTCTTTGTGAATCAAATAAATGAAAAATGTGTTTTCTAGTACAGCAAACCAAGTGAGCATTCAATCATGACTTACATTTTCTGTTTTTGTATAAAAATATAAACCCATATAAGGTGTGCATACCTTGACTTTGTTAATGACTAAATTGAACTCCAAATTGTTGTGTTAAGTATTTGATTTTGCCAGTATCTGAAGAGCTGTCTCACAAATGGTTTTCACAGGCACACAATGCTTCTGACAGAAGTATCTTCATCAGGGGTATAGGACTATGATCATTTCCTTTTACATAGGTTCTTATGAGTTTTAATCTGCAGAGTAATCCTAATCCCCTGGAGCATTATTTCAATGGTGTTAGGTTAAGCAGAGGCTGGGACAGAGTGCATAATCTATTTCAGAAGTCCAAATTAAAGTTTGAAAGCACAATTATGCTACCAACAGTGAGCAGCAAAAGAGTAATGTGGAGTCACCATCTCACCCGTTTAATATGGAAGTCTGAATCTGACAGATTTACTTTGACTCACTCCATTGAGATGGAGAGAGAGAGAAGATGCAAAAATATCTAGTTAAAATTGGTTAAGTTCTCCTCCCAGCACAGACCTTCAGCCCTGGCTGGCACACAGGGCCGAGACAATTATATTCTCTAGTTTAGAAATGTGGGATAAAGAGTAAAATTCTGTGTCAGATTCTCAGGCTATTTATGTATTTAATTAATTTCACCTTGCTCTTCAGCCCGAAGGGGTCTCAAAGCTTACAGATTAAGGTCTCCATGTATATCAACATTCAGCAAACATATATAACACTCATACCTATTTCCTAAAGCCACTGTTTCTGGCCAAAATCACAGGTGATGGGCAGTTGGAAAACTGCTTCATGAATTTAATTCCTACACATAAATGGACTGATTTCAGTTATGGTGGGCCTGCAAAAAGCAACAGTTTTTTAAAGAATATCAAACGTTTTTACTAACTACAGGCGGAAATCCTAATTTTTCTACTAACTGCCACACCTGTGAAAATTTATGTTAACTCATCAGGAAATTTATGTTACATAATTTCTGAATAAAAATGTTTAAAAAGAATGAAAGGGTCATACATTTGCAAAAGGAAGCCCCTAGTTAGTATTCAATGAATTTTAAAGTACTGTTAATAAAGCCTACTTTAGTAAAGCTAAACCTGAATATTACATAATTACAAAAATGAATATTTTACACTAAATAATAAAATCTTTGTTACAAACAGGGCATATTTATCCAACCTGAGTTTGTGCTAATGTTTTTTCTTGTTATATTCTTTCATAGGTTCAGTGTTTCAACTGATCGAGTGAACTTAAGATTGTTTGCTGAGAAACACAAGACAATATTATACATTTATCTATTCCAACCTCCAGTTCTCCTTCAAACTGTCCAAACAAGTAAAATTTCTATCAAATCTTGAGAATGCAAAGCTTTGCAAGAGATATATCATTATGCATCACTTTAAATGCAGTATCTTCAAATACAATACTTTTTAACATTTAGACAATGAACCAGCAGCCTTATGTGCTTCAGAATCCATTCTAGCATTAGAGTAATTAGGATGTTCATTTCAAAATAATGCCAGTTATAACAATAAGCTGTGATTATAATTTACTAAATTAAATGTTCCGAAGTATATGGAATTGGTAATTCCAGTCCAGAAGTATTTTAGCATCTATATGTCACATTTTTATAAATCTGTTATTATGAACAATTCAATAAATATATTTTGTATCTTCTGGGGAAGAAACTGATGACTTCAGCTAATTATGAGAGATGTGCTCAAAAGACAACACTGGTTCATATTATATGATCACATGATGTAACAGTTTTCTTCTGGACAGAAATTAATTTAGTATACTAATTTTGTTCTGTAACACTTATTGTTTCTAGAGGTTCAAGTTCTTTTTAATTATATACAAATAATTAAAATATACAAGCAAACAGAAAGACAAAAGAAATGGAAATTGCTTTTATGCTCAATCACCAGTTTTCCATCATTTATATAATGTTTTGAAGAATTTACATCTTCTATATCTGAACAATCATTTTATTGGTGAGAGTCTTGACTGAAGACTTTAAAAATATGGGCTGGATATATATTTTGTATTCTTTAATAAGCTGCTTTAAATGTGAATAATTTACTTTATATTTTATGAATTTAATTAAATTACTATGGCATGAATGTAAAACTAGAATAGACTATTGTATGGGAAAAATACATAATACATGTTTGTTTTCCTTGCTTTTTACTCTTTCGTTTCCTTTCTAACTTTTCACATTAAACAAACAAACAAACAAACAAATAAATAAAATGCTCGATGTTCCACTGCTACAATGTACATGACTGATGCAGTCATTGTGTTATTCCCTCAAGTAAACAAGCACACTCCATGCCTCATTATGTATAGTATTTTTTATCCACAATCTATTAACAATTTTTCTTAAAACACCACAACTAAAAAGAAATAAGAAAAAAATAATTCAATTAAAATAAAAGTTTGGATTATCTTCTCATTCCTTATTATCTAATTAGAGCGACTAATGTTTCTATACATGACAGAGCATACATTGGTAGATAGAACTCAGATCGGTTTAACAGCTGCCCTGACTTAAAAAACACTCAACTATTTGTTAGACTCAGTGAATGAGGAATGGAGAGATATAGTACTATTATTTATCCCTTCTGCATGCTATCATAGTAAGCCCTGAATCCACTGGAGGCTTTCTGTACCACACAAAAATAAACCAATTAATATAAAAGTGCTGTATAATCCCTAAGGGCATTGTTTTAAAATATAAAGTTCCATTAAAGGTGCAATATGAAGTACTCAATTGGTAAACAAAGCACAAAGAATGGATTTTGATGAAAAAGCAGATTAGAAGGTGAGCTTCTCCATTCAGCAGAAAATCTCGGGCTGTTCTATGTAATGTTATTCAGTTATGAAGGGAGAAGAAGCTTTCCTTTTGCATCTAATTACCTAGAGAGGTGGTTTTGCTCTCTCTTTATCAGATTAACAGCAATAACTTTTCTATTTAGAAATATGTTAGGCCTTTAAATGCTGGATTTTGTTGCTTGCTTGCTATTAATGATAGAGAAACAATAAATCAAATACTGTGACACTTTTTAAATGATTTTTTAACTGTTTTGTTTTTAAATGATGTTATTGCTGGTCTCTTTCTATATGAATGTTAACTCTAGTTCCCTACTACATCTGAATACCAAAACAAACTATTATTTGTTCAAGCAACAGTTACTGTAAAGAAAAAGAAATGTGAAAATACAGTATATTTGGGTATATTGTAATTCACTGTAAAAGGATTACAAATAAAAGATAACACTGTTTATACCTCAAATACATATACTAATTACAAAATAAAAGCCTCATGTGGAAGTATCCTCAGACATAGTTAGAATATGTTTTATTATAAATTGCAAATGGAAATTTTAAAATTCCTTTATACGTGGAGAGGAAGGAAAGACGAGATATTCTATGGATCCAAAACTCCTTAAGTTCATTCTCATAATGCAAACAATGATGTTTGATTATGTCTGGATCAAATGTGTGTCTATGTGATTTTATTGCTCAATTCAAAACATGGACTTTATCCAGATGCTGTTACAGGAGAGTCTTGTAATATATTGTACATATTCTGGTTTGCTGATTTTCAAAAAGTTTTTAAATATCATGGTATACTGAAATGTCTTTATTTTGTTAGGTGATATACTTTTCCAGAAATTTTCCAACTTCAGCTAACACTTCTATTATACAATGGCAAGAGAAGAAGAATATTATCAAATATCATACATATATTAGCTAAGAAATAGTTTAAAAGTGTCAATATACATTTCTAGACACTGAGTTTTTTAGATATCTATTGCTGCATTTTGCCCTTTGAGTTAGGAAGAATGTAACTATTATAAATACATGGAACTGTTCCTTGCTGATTATGTTTACATGTGTAGTAGATATCTTCTTTCTCTTTTCAAGTGTACTGCCTAGTATTAGTCATTCTTATAGAAATCAAGTTGGCAAAACACTGACCTAAACACTTTTGTATTTTAAAATATAAAAAAAGAAGAGAAAAAAAATCCACTTTTACCTGAAAGTGCTACAAAATCTAAAATTAGGTAGCAAAATTGATGAAACCATATATACTTGGTGAGAAGAAGAAGAGTGAGAAGAGGTGTGAGGGCATGTTTTTTTGTCACATTACAGTCACTAAATTCAATTGTAAAAATACAT